AGGAAGGGCCGTTCAACGGGGCATCCGCAGCGGCGCTGGAGGAAGAACCGGGCCCGGCTCGCCTGCCCTTTCACGCCCCGCCAAGCGCGGAGCAGCCGTGAGGAGGAATGCCTGAGTGTATAACGCAGCTCCGGTCCCTCCAGCTGTCTCGACCACAAATTCCGCAATTTCCAGAGATCGCACCCACGCGGACTGAGAATAAGACCGCTGGATACAGGGGGATTTTAATCTGCATTTAGGAAAGGATGCCCGCGGCTAACTCCCTACGAGCATTTTTCCTCTCTTGCGTGATTTTCCTCCCGCACATAATGCTTATGCGTTCGGAAAAAAAACTACTAACGCTTTTTTGGCAGTGTATTTTGTGTGTGTACACACCAGTTTCTTTGCGAGAACGTCATTTCTTTGAATTGGAAACCGACCACAGCTCAGTGGATCGCTTGGAAGCATTTTTATTTTACCTCTCGTTTAAGTAAATGCAGTTAGAATCAGATCTGAAATTAGGAATGCGAAATTAAATGAAACCAGCAAGATTTAACTCATCTGAGAAATTGGGGGGAGGGACTCTCTTAAATAGATTTATTCGCAAGGATTTTTTTTTTGGCCTGCTAGTTAAAAAGAGGGAAGCCTGATTGAATTGGTTCAGATTTCACCTGTTTAAACTTCACTAAATATATGTCTTTATATAAGGACATTTTTGGACCTGGTTCCAAATTGTTGCCTGGGTTTTTTTGGGTGGGGTGGGGTGGGGGTGGAGAATAGTTCATTCTCACACTGCTCTAAAGGATTATGCTTTTTCGCTATTCTGTATGCTCTTAAAGTGCTTAAATGCTCTTAAAAAGCACCTGATTATTATTTCAGTAGAATCTCTTGCCAAAATTTGTGCCCATTAATGGAGTAAATAGGCAATGATTAATTTCTGTAATTAACGTGATTGGGTTCAGAGCTATACAAGTGACTTCGTTTCAGCTGGGTAAGATCATGGTGCCACAAGTACAGGAATGAAAAAACAAAAATATAAAGCACTCCTTATAAAATAATGTAACACCTTAATATACCTGCTATAAGCATAGAACCTATAATACTCTTACACTGAATTACTATTTATTAAATAGCCCTCATTTCAAGCATTTATACATAGGTTACATTTTGCATATGACCGAAAGCAATCTTAGTGCTGCTTAAATGTATGCAGTGATGTTAAAAAAGGAATTCAAGATGTAAATTCTTAATGAAATAGTGCATCCACCAAAATAATTCTATAAAAAGGGTGTACATGGGAATAATGAACTGCAAATAGATTTAAAATCTATTTTTGGTTTTATGGTTTTACTGCCCTTTTGAAACCAGCAAAATGCAAAACAAAACAAAACACTCCAATACTTATTCTTAGGTGTTAGGATTGCTGGTGCTATTGTCAACATTGGTTATACACAGTACACCCATACACACGTTACATGGGAGACTCAAAATTGTCAGTTTTATGTATTTGGCTTTGCTCTCTAACCCTCCATTTTGCATATTAATCAGAAACAAAAAATCGTGTTTGATTGAATTGCCTATATAGTACCAATTCTGCATGATGCTGACACCATGATCTAAGCTAAGTTTCTACACATTTAATTAACATTGCAAGTCTCGCTCCTAAGATAATATATGCCTTTTTAATCAACCCTTGAAAAAAGGTTGAAGGGGAAACAATTATTTAACAGCAAGAAATGCTGACATAAGCTTCAGTAATTTTCTCAAAGGTGCCAATGCAAACGTGTTAGGTACAACATACAAATATGTAAATTAACATTTCAATCCTATAAACATGTATATGGGGATTTTTCTCATTGACTTCAGTGAGGTAAATTGCACCTAGAATTGCACTGATAATGGCTGTAAACAGATTTTAAGTGTTCCAAGTTGTGTTATGTTGTGAATCTGAGTTGGAATCTCTTATTTTTTGTTACTTCTTGTTCTAATTATATACTCATTTCATTTTCTATTTTATTCTGTAGCTTTCCAATGTCGTAACAAAATAGGTAGCTCTAGATTTTTAAGCTTCCCTGAGTAACACAAGACCTTGGAGTTTAGCAGATACTACTATCTTTTCTTCTGGAGTAGGGCAATGGTTTTTCCATAGTTTCTTAAAAGATTTTAAGGATGATTTTGTTAAAAACATTCACACATGGTGATAACAGTAAAGTACAACTCCCAAATTCATATATGAAAATGATCTATTGAGGACACAATATTAAAAGGGTAATGGAATTGCATCTGCTGTATGCAATTCTAGCTTTTCCCCTTGAGTGTGTAAAAAATACCTGGTGTTATTGTGGAGGTGCTTTTGATACATCCAGGAAAATAACTTGCTTTTTTGGCTGTGTTGATACTTACAGATTGGGATAAATTGAAGTAATGACAATTGTCATTTCTTGTTTGAAGTCCCGCCCCCCCATAGACTGAATCCCACCCATACCTCCCAGAGGGAGGTAGATAGCAACATCTGAATTTC